ACCAGCACATAAAATTATTACGGACCGGCTATTTCATGACAAAATGAGCAATTCGCGTAATAATTGAAAATCTAAGTAAGCATATCACTTTATTTATGTAAATGATGTGGTGGATTTAAGTCTAGCGATTACGCTACAGAAGGATGGAAGAGCACTACATGATTTTACTTTTAACCCGGAAAGTTTAGATAAGACGGAATAAAATTAATTCCGACTGGCAGTAGTTAATTTGTTTTACCGCAACAATAAAATTATATTTACAAATAAAATCTGCATAAGACCGGTGTGTTAGCCACTGAAGACGTTAGTTGTCGGGGTTGAGGCGTAGCTAATAAAGTGCTGTGTAGTTGTTTATTGTTTCATAACCGTCCTATGCGGTAGGAAGTGAGATGGTATCGCATGTTATTAATGTGGACCCTCGTCATATGTACACGGCAGGTCGTTTCATTTTGATGATTTAAGATTACTATAAGCATATTACTTTCAAGATGGATCATTAAACTTGCTCCACTGTATTTGGTTTAATAATCAGATTAATTGGTATTGCTTGTATAGATTTGAGTGTTAAAGATGTTTGGTGCCGCATTTGTTAGTCATCTAATTAAACCTTTCATCATGAGATGAAATACACCTATTGTGATTATATAGGCATGTCCACAGCTTAAATTTTACTCGGTAAATTTTCGGTAGCTGCCAAAGTATGAAGACTTATTAACTAATTAATATAAGTAAATTGGGTCTAATCCCTGTTTGTTGTTCGAGATTTTCTGAAACCAATAGTAAAACTGTAGGATTATATATTCGCTCTCATTACCTCAGAACTCATTTACGAGATTTTCAATTTATGTCCATGTTTGTGTTGCAATCACACTGGATAGAGGGACGGAAGGAGTCAGAATAGGATATCCCACATATCCTGTTGACCGATTCACACACTATTCAACCCAACGACAGCATCGGGAAAATTTCGAATAAATCTCCAAAGGCACATTCTTTCTTTAGAATTCAATGTACAGGCAATACCTCAAAAACTACAGGAGATGTAAAGAAAAATCTTGAAACTTTAACACCCTATAGAACGGTAACGAAGCGTTGGCGGGCATATCTTTATATGAAAATACACCTATTATCATAAGTCATAAAATAAGCCAAAGAATTAGCTCCTTCTGTATTTACATCATTTTTGGAACACCTGTATATACCTACCATCCACTAAGGTGCGTTCTAATCCCTCACCTTTGAGATAAACACACATACATTTAACATTAGTCCCTTGATCGATCATGTACGTATGAAACATTAACGATGCGAATTATACAGGATGTTTATTAAACATGCGGCAAAAATGTAAAGGGCTATTTCTTGGACAATTCTAAAGGATATTTTGTCCTTCGATGATTTTTGATAAGATTGGATTTTTGCAGCCGAGCGGCGTGTAGTCATTTTGAACAGTTCATGTAGATTACGAAACATTACATTTAATAATTTTTTTTGGTAATAAATTGTTATTGTCGAAATTCTTTTTCGCCCCGTATCTTCGAAACAAAGCGCTCTATCAAAAATCATCGAAGTCCAAAGAATAGCCCCTTAAATTTTTGTCCATGTTTAATAAACACCTTGTATACAATTTTGCCTCCTAACATTGTACCAATTCATTTGCAAGATGCAAGTTTGAAAGGAATCGAACTGCAATGTAGACATCAATCCCACACTAATTTTTCAGCGTCACAGTTATAACTTTACAAGAAATTACTTATAAGGCCCAATTATATTTCTCCTAAACCTCGTTACTTAGAAGTGTATAAGGTAATTATGTATTTGATGTCGCTAGTTATGTGCCTACTAAAACTGTCATGGATGTAGGGGTGACGTAATAAGATCTTGATTTAGTAGACATGTATACCTACGCTTATGCTCCATATCTGACCAAATCACCGTGGCCATTATTTCTTATTTGCCGATCCGTTAAATTTTTCAAATCATGAGATAGTTATTTCGGTCACATAAGGAGTGATTCCATTAAGAGCTGTCTTCCAAATTGAGGTATAAAATCCTATAAATATAAAACCTACAGAATATAAAAATTATTAGATCACTAGAGCTTTTATGAGGTAGTAACTTCTTTTTTTCTATACCCTTTAGGAATCCTATATTTAAATATAATATCGGGATTTAGCTAATATGTATAAAGGAACTCGATATGAAAAAGAACTGAAATAAATTCACCATCGCAATTCAAATAATGAGCTTATTCCGTTCTGTAAAAAAGGTCCGAATATACAAATTTGTTACTGCCTTAATAAAATCTGTAATGGAAAATGCAAAGTTGAATGGATATACTGAACCGTAAATAACTCCATAGGGCCAAGCCATTTAAAATAAACTTGATTTGAAGGCAAACAAGCGTTTAAAGAAAAGCCCAAGATCGGTATTCCAATAAATCGAAAAGGCAAATAGGAATATCGGATAACTGACGTCCGTATATAAACGTCGATTTATAAAAACATTAATCATAAGTTGGTAGATACTATATGCCTACAGAATCGAAGTGATAAAGAATATTTTATTCAAGCGATATTGTCACTTGCCAGTTTTACCCCTGTAATAAATATTGATAAACAATAAAATAGAATTTATTTCATATTTCTTTTGTAATAAATTAAGCCAAATCTCACGAGAAGTAATTTGAGATAAGTGGGAACATTAGTGAATCTTGAAGTCTTAAAGAGATTGGAATGTTATAAAACACAGATGCGGCTCTCAACGATGATGATGACATAAAATAAACAGTTATCAATATACTAAAAAATTAAGTGCAGTAATATCACATGTAATGAGAAAACTGTAAATGCTTCTTAATTTTATACCCTTCCTTATCCTATCTGTGAGAATGGTTTACTGAAAAAATGGGAGGTCCATAAAGTAACATTTATGCAGGTACTTTGTTCAAACACAACGGATCATTGATATACTAGAGGTATACTAAGTTAGGTGCCTTTTACAAATGTAGTTATTGCACACAATTGAGTAGTTTGCAATCCTGATTAATAAAGGAGAAGTATTTATAAAGGTGCTGAACTAAAAAAAGCTTCTTCGCACGGACATAAAGTTGATTGATTTTATGAAAATGCCAGATGGGAAAAACTCTAAGGAATGGATCAAGTGCAATACTTCTTCAACTCCACAATGAAAGTGAGTTACGCTGGCACATTTTGAACAATATTTCTATTTTTGTATTAAACGTAAGGTAAATAGAAACTTTGGGTTCTTGCTCAGATTCTACAAATGTTGTACCTTTTTAGCACGTGTATAACGCTTTTCTACAAACAAATAGATCTCATAAATACATTCATCAAAGCAGTCATTAAAAACCAGTCTGCAATTAAAAAGAGCTTAAAGTTTCTTTTTTACTTTCTATTGTAGATATTCGCTGATGATGAGAGCTTTGCTGTCGTTGGTGTTTGTTTCGTTTTTTTTTTGTAGAGTTTACTTAACTGCAAACGAGTATTCAAAGCCTTTGGCAACCCCATTACGGTATTTCCTACAACAATTCCATTCACGAACGAGGTGGAATTACCAAGCCAGCTTAGCGATTCTGCGATTTTAGTTACAATGTAATAGATGAGTTCACTTATTCGACAGGTATCACTCTTCAATTCGAAAGCGAGTGTACTCTCACCTCAATGCTCGTAAGGTACAAGGAAAAATATATCCAAAAACTCCAATGCCAAAATCAGACCTCATTCCAATTAATTCGAACTTACGTACCCTATTAACAAATGGGTTTCGGATTGCGATGTAGGTAAAATAAAGATAATAACTTTACCTAATAAGGATACAGCCACCATCCCATTTGGGTAAAGACGCTTAGATAACTAATTTAAACAATTTTAGCGTGACGAGTCCGGAATTTTTCCATTCCATTCAACATTGTTCGCAAAGATCGACTTGTCATTTCAACGGTAAAAGAAAAAGTGATCTCAATGCCAATGGTACCAACTACTCGTAACGCATTAAAACTGTAGTAAAAGCGTATTCAGTCAGTAGCACAAATCAAGATTCAACGGAACTTTACAATTCCTAACACAGGGATGTACGATGGGAGTATTATGTGCTTTGGGTCATCGTGGCTTTGGCAGGTCACAGTTATCAGTTGTCAAAGATGTATAAAATACCAACTTACTTACGGCAAATTATAAATCGTAATTTTTGTGTGTTTTTCCCCGGAAGAATATAAGAAATCGCACGTTTTCTATTGTCAGACACTTTACACCATGCCAACCCCAACAATTGACCTTAAAGGTGTCTGTGAAGGAGTTGCCACGATGTAAAGTGTCTAACAATAGAAGACAAATACACAAAAATTACGCGTAATAATTAAATTGCCACGTCGTGGAAACCGCGGACATTGTAAACCCGCAAATTTTAGCGAACAACCTAGGTAATAATCCAGAACCTCTTCAAATAGCCCCGGCACTTTGAACCAATCCGCGAAGGGACCCGCAGAATTCATTGGTTAGCGGAAAAATTGCAGTTAACCATAATCACACTGAATTCAGAAAGATACTCCAAAGGTAAGTACGGTAATTCCCGACGTAAGGGAAGTGGGGTTGCTGGTTGCCGCATTGAAAGAAAGAGTAAAGGTTTCCTTAGTAACGCAGTTCGTATTGTCGCTAGAAGTACAACAACCTATCTGCAGTTTAAAACTTCAAATTTCTATAAATCGATACGACTTCAATATATCGTTTTCCCCGTCACAGAAAAAAATAGTGTATCATACACGGGAAAAATGTTAAATTTTAGCTATCGGTTTTTTTGTCTCCCTCCGCTTCGCGTCGGGAAACAACACAATCTCGAGCTAAAATTTAATACTTTTGTATAATAAATAACTATTTTTATCTACGACTATTAAATAACGCTCAAATAACGTCACTATATTTTAGCGAATTATGATATGCATTATTATCGGTTCCTCTAAAATCCTTATATACAACTACTTTATGTCACTACATATTTCTCATAATTGCATATGTATAAGTTCATAATTGCATATGTACTAAAAATAGAACCGCCCATCTCGTATGTACTACCTGTCAGTTTTGTTTTGAATTAAGCATTTCTTAGGTTAGAAATGAGAGATTTCGGGTTACGTACGCTTAACTTTGTAGGTTTATTTGAAAAACAATTAATACAGGAACTTGATCCACCCCTATGACGAGATATGTGCGATATTTATAAAATGGGATGAAATAAACTTGTAAAATACCTGAAGTCATTGGCAAGTTCAGGCAACGTTACTTAACGACAGATACCTTCGCTGATACAAATATTCTGCATGAGCATGAATAAGGTTTTCGTTTGTATTTAAAGTATCTATACCTTCATATTCACAAGGCATTATTTGTAGCATAATGGATTATCGGAAGCCCCATTTGAAGATTATGCTAGGTATAACCTATAAGTTTCAGCCTTTTACGAAGAGAAATATGTTTCGTACAACATATGTGGTATTGTTGTCGAAATTGTGCCACGATACAAAACAATAACATATTGTAAACTCGTTGACAATAAAGGATACAAATTGTCGTAGCACTTAACCACAGTTTTGCATGATTTATTTTAAGAATTGATAATTCGTAACAGGTCTTACATACTAGGCATTGACCAAATTACTTAAATAGATGGCTACAATATGTACGTTAACTAATAAAAAACACCCCTTGCCCTTAAATTTGCAATAAAACTATGCTTTCATTGCTTAAACTTCGTTTCTAAAAGAGGAAGAAACTTCTTGGATGCAGGTCGGAGAAGCGTAACGAAGTCTTTGAAAAATTAGATTATGTATGCGAAACAAAATATTGTATTCCATTTGGCAGCTGTGTAACAATTTCTGCAGACATAATTGATACATCGGGATCGGATTTAGAGAATAGTTGTACAGGTACATCACATAAATATCCACCTTACTTCCATAGGTTATATGTCACAATCTAAAACAATGAAAAATGAATGACAACCATTTATATTAGCAATAATCTTACGTGTAGGTAATTACGTGTTGAATTAATGACTTCTGGGAACTTTAGATAAATTGCATATTTAGTTCGCCACTTAGGTACATTGCGATACATTGAATCTGAGCATTGAATTAGATTTGAGGTTAAATACCGTCAACGAATGAACGAACGCAAACCAAACCATAGGCGTACATTGCGCTACCGCTATGAAGTTGCTACGTTTCAAACTGATTCAGATGCCGCATTTTCTATTTAATTAAATAGTCGTAGATAAAATAGCGTATTTTACTTGCATATAAAGGCGATTATGACACTCGGAAAAATTACAACACTCGCCTTCGGCTCGTGTTGCAAACTTCACCTCGTGTCATAATCGCACACTTTATATGCTCGTATAATAATATACTATTATCTACGACTATTAAATAACGCTCAAATAACGTCACTATATTTTAGCGAATTATGATATGCATTATTATCGGTTCCTCTAAAATCCTTATATACAACTACTTTATGTCACTATATATTTCTCATAATTGCATATGTATAAGTTCATAATTGCATATGTACTAAAAATAGAACCGCCCATCTCGTATGTACTACCTGTCAGTTTTGTTTTGAATTAAGCATTTCTTAGGTTAGAAATGAGAGATTTCGAGTTACGTACGCTTAACTTTGTAGGTTTATTTGAAAAACAATTAATACAGGAACTTGATCCACCCCTATGACGAGATATGTTCGATATTTATAAAATGGGATGAAATAAACTTGTAAAATACCTGAAGTCATTGGCAAGTTCAGGCAACGTTACTTAACGACAGATACCTTCGCTGATACAAATATTCTGCATGAGCATGAATAAGGTTTTCGTTTGTATTTAAAGTATCTGTACCTTCATATTCACAAGGCATTATTTGTAGCATAATGGATTATCGGAAGCCCCATTTGAAGATTATGCTAGGTATAACCTATAAGTTTCAGCCTTTTACGAAGAGAAATATGTTTCGTACAACATATGTGGTATTGTTGTCGAAATTGTGCCACGATACAAAAGAATAACATATTGTAAACTCGTTGACAATAAAGGATACAAATTGTCGTAGCACTTAACCACCGTTTTGCATGATTTATTTAAGAATTGATAATTCGTAACAGGTCTTACATACTAGGCATTGACCAAATTACTTAAATAGATGGCTACAATATGTACATTAACTAATAAAAAACACCCCTTGCCCTTAAATTTGCAATAAAACTATGCTTTCATTGCTTAAACTTCGTTTCTAAAAGAGGAAGAAACTTCTTGGATGCAGGTCGGAGAAGCGTAACGAAGTCTTTGAAAAATTAGATTATGTATGCGAAACAAAATATTGTATTCCATTTGGCAGCTGTGTAACAATTTCTGCAGACATAATTGATACATCGGGATCGGATTTAGAGAATAGTTGTACAGGTACATCACATAAATATCCACCTTACTTCCATAGGTTATATGTCACAATCTAAAACAATGAAAAATGAATGACAACCATTTATATTAGCAATAATCTTACGTGTAGGTAATTACGTGTTGAATTAATGACTTCTGGGAACTTTAGATAAATTGCATATTTAGTTCGCCACTTAGGTACATTGCGATACATTGAATTAGATTTGAGGTTAAATACCGTCAACGAATGAACGAACGCAAACCAAACCATAGGCGTACATTGCGCTACCGCTATGAAGTTGCTACGTTTCAAACTGATTCAGATGCCGCATTTTCTATTTAATTAAATAGTCGTAGATAAAATAGCGTATTTTACTTGCATATAAAGGCGATTATGACACTCGGAAATTTACAACACTCGCCTTCGGCTCGTGTTGCAAACTTCACCTCGTGTCATAATCGCACACTTTATATGCTCGTATAATAATATACTATTACAGAAAGAATTGTTTATGAGCGTGACTAAAAAAGTAAAAGAAGTGAAAATCTGTACATTACGATTACCCATATAAAAAGACACTTGAAAATAAGCTTTTCCGTTACATAATCAACGATTGAGACTTTGTTACTATTGATATCGACCATTGCTATTACTGTACGATTATTTAAATGGCAGCAAACTTTTGAGGATGAAATATAATTTTTAACACTTTAATCATAATTAGAAATTACGCTTTTGTGATGGCGCTGTCCTGCATTGTAAGAATAAAAAATAGCTGTCATAGATTCCTGTGTAAATACTTGCTTGGACCACACAGATTTTGGATTAGTAGAAGACATTAATTCTATATCCAGCAGGGTTCGTATTGTGTCGCTAGTTATATTTCACATAAATAATATGTTAGAATAAGAAAGATTTAGTAAGTAAACAAACTTGGATGTGTGGATAGGAACAGCAAACGTTGTCCAATGCGGTGCTCGCCACAGGTAATATTGGATTTCATGCGCGATCAATTTAAATTCTTTTCTATTAATTATCGTGCATAAGTTCTTATAAAAGTGCAATCTTGACATTTAGAGGCGCCTTTATCAACTAACTCCAAACTTGAAACGCTTTATGTTGAGTTATAACGATGTTTCATAAAGTTGCAAAACTCGGAAATTTGTTTTCTTAATCATTGCAATTATAAGAAGTTTTAAAAAGTAAAATCAGCGGAGATTTGGTTTATATAAAAAGTTTTTAAGCTGGGAATAACGAGTGCTTCCGCTCCTGCATCCCCTAACGTGCATCTACTACAGCACTCAGCAATTATTACAACTAACACGTAAATGTTTGCATTAATTTTAAACCCGTCCTTTACTGGAGAGAATTATGACGCAGGTTTTAATGAAAATTGCTCCCATTAACACAAAAAGAAGCCCCAATTCGTGTTTTTCTCTTTCAATTTATATTTCTCATTTACTGTATTAAACAGTACGAAGAGTAAACGCGGCTTACATGTCTTGCTTATGAGTATGACTCTTTGAAAGGATCTGGATTATTTCAATTTAGTCTGGCGTAACTTCGATGCAACACGCTACAGTTTCCAGTCGTACTTTCTTAATGAAATTGGTTGCAATGTACATAAAGGTATATGCATCCGTAAGTGGTGAAATTTACGTCAAGATTTAATTAAATTAGAAGTTTATTACGTACAGGAGTTTGTTACAAAACGAGACAAACGTAACCCGGTCATAAAGGTTGTAAGCCCTAGTAGTGAAATTTCAGAGAAAGGTTTTGTATGTATCGCCTAAATTGTATCCCACGTCACATTTAGTTAATTTATGCGTGTCATTTTAGATATGAAACAGAGATAAGTTTGCGATGTGTATCTACTTAAAGGTAATGGAATCGTTGAAGTATTGTCCAATGTCCATATTCAAATAGACCGGTATATATCACAATGTGTATCCATGGTTTTAGATCTACTTTCTTTTTCGTTTTTGGGCACTAATCTTCGAGAGTAAGCTCAATTTATGCTATCAATTACTTTTGAAACAATGCTCATAGGATATGTATAATAGTAAATAATACAGGGTATGGATCCATTTATCCATAAGTAGCTCCGCATTACGGTCTTATGTCAGTACCAATTAAAATTAAAAGTTAGATAATTTTACTTTTAAAGTTACATAAGTCTTTTTTGGCAGTACATCATGCGTTTTAAAAACAGGTTGATAGCCCTCTGCACGACTTTTTTAAGATGCATATGGCACACTTTTATCGACCACGACCCCAAATTTTCGATTATCCCTTCTAACAGTATTTTTTCCCAATCTACTATAATTGTTTAAGGAGCAATTATTCTTCTGCCGGCAATCAGAGCGGTCTTTGTTTTTCTGCCCACAAACCTCAACTCTCTTGCGTCCATCCATTTTTTGACCTCATTTGAAACCATTTCAATTTTTTCCACAGCGGTTCCTAGTCGCATTCGCGTAGTTACTGTATTTATACTCTGTGGCACTCCTATAGCAGCCCAGCCCAGCGTATGAGAAATGTCATAATAACGATTCCAAAACGGAGCCTTGCGACAATCCTCCATTAACCCAAAGTAGTGTAGGTTTCTCCTAACGGTGGCGCAACTTCATTTTTCATTTTTGGCAGTCTATTTGCCGCCTGCACTACCTCACATAGGCTTACTTTTCCTACCCCTCTCCGCTGGTTATCCCACCCCTCTCTTGGAATCGCGGAAATATTTTTCTTTAGCGTCCTCGTCGGTTGCAAGCAATGACTTTAGCATATATGCCCACCTTACCCGCTATGATCTGGTAGGCACTACCCCCCCCCCCCCAGGTAGCTAGGTGTTCCGCCATTTGCTAGTCCCACCCGTAAGTAGGATACTTACCATTTCGCATTTTTGCATCAGGCATCAGTGCGTTCCCCATGGCTGCTATACCTGCGTCTAGCTCCTCCCGGGTCTCAGGAACCTTGGCTTGTTTGTGACGACTTTAGCTTTGGAATGGTCTAGCTTTTTCACTACCCATCGTTCATTGTATGGTGCCTCTCGTTTGTTGTCGCAGTTTTTAAGGGTAGTCTTTCAAACCAGCGACCACGTGATATATTTATGATCACTGAGGGTTTCGAACCCCTCCACCTTCGATCTTGTTACTCTACAG